ATTATTATTTGTATTTGTATATATTATTCAATATGTCAATATTAATCAAAATATCCAAAATATTTAATTCAATAACTAAATTAACATTTAATTTAGGAGTCTTCGCTCTATGTACGGCCTCCAAATAATTATTTAGGATACGAATGTGTATTGTAAAATGCCTCAACGATTTAGCGCAGTGTAGGGCGTATCCCTACAAGATGGAGGTATCTCTGGTTGGGGGACCTGGTAAGAGATGGAGAAAGTCGATGGATGCTGCTGGCTAAGGATTTTGGTTTGTTGCATTCCTTAGGGGACCTATGTTCAGCAGTGGACTTGTATTGGGTTGTAATGATAATAAAGAATCACATTAATGGTATTAAAGGTGACAAAAGTTAAAAGGAAGGTCTTGTGGCTTTTGAATTATTTTTTGAAAGAGTAGAAAAACGAGAATACGGCTCACCTGATGGTAAGTGATCAACGTTATCCATGAACAATTTCCAAAAATTGCGGTATGACTATCACATATTTATAGCATATATATAATTTGATGTATTTCTTATTTTTTTCTAATATTTACGCGAAAACTACACATTAAATGAAATTAATTTTTTACGGATTATGTCGCGCTTAATTTTAACTTTTTTAATTGTCGACGTTTCGGGTGCTTTACAGCACCCATGGACACGGGGGGACTGAGGTGTTTGACGTCCCGATGTCATAGTTAGCCCGGCTACGTTCAGTTTTTTAATATTAATTTTTGGTTCGATTTACGCAGAATGAGCTTACAGAATCTTGAAGTCTAGCAGTGGTATACATGGGTTTGAATTTAATTTTATTAATTATAGGATCCCAAGCAGATGGCAGCCCATCCATCTTCTCTATTGAAATTGAGATGTTTTTTAATTTTAATAGCCTAACGAATCATCCTTGGTAGGAATCGGTGTAATTTTGCGAGGATTTGTGGTCTATCAAATCTAATGTAATGGCGCGGATGACCTTGAACATGTTCACAAACTGCAGACTTCCCGATACATCGGTGCTTCACGTTAGCTATGTGTTCTTTAACGCGGGTTTTTATAGACCTTTTTGTTTGTCCTATGTAAGAGAGACCACATTCACAATCCAGCTTGTACACTCCTGCATCTTGTAGAGGGATATGACACTTGACGTAAAAATTGACCAATCTTCTTTAGCGACTTGAAGTATGTTTTAATGGAAGTTAGCTTTAAGATGTAGCCAACCTTGTCGATGACTTCTCTGACACAGCAGGCATACGCTCGACTGTGGCCGGCTTCACTCGGTCACTGTGACGTAGGCGCGGGACCCGAAGCTTGTTGTCTTGCGGTACTTGCTTGACGTGCTGAAGCTCGGCGGCCAGATGTTTTCGTCACAGATCCCTCGTGCTCTCTGAAACAAAGATTTTCCCGCGGTAACTAACTGTGAAGGATGGTGGTGCGATTCACCATTTAAATAATGGTTAGTATGGGTCTTTTTCCTGTACACAGTATGACCAATAGTGTTATCAGGATTTCGGATGACTAAAACCTCTAGGAAAGCTAAAGAATTGTTTGCCTCTAACGCCATTGTGAATTGTATTTTAGGGTTTATGGAATTAAGGTTGTTTAAAAATGCAGTTACTTTGTCAGAAGGTAAAATTGTGAAAGTATCGTCTGCGTACCGTTTGTGAATCTTGGATTTACAGGAGCAGTAAGAAGGGCTTTCTCCTCAAAGTTCTCCATGAATATGTCGGCGACTACGGGAGATACAGGTGCACCCATTGCCTTCCGTCTACTTGAATGTAGAACTCTTCCTTCCATAATAAATAGCCAGATGTGAGGCAGTGTAAGTAATACTGCATATTCTGTGGGCATGTTGTGATCTTCTAAATTTCTAGTTACAATTGAGATGTAGTCTTCAATAGGTAGGCATGTGAATGGTGACTGAACATAAAAACTGACCATAGTTTCATTGTCAGCGAGATGTAGGTCTTTTATCTCACTAACAAAAAGGGTATGAATCCTTTGTGTATGCCCTGGTGTGTCCTTTTAGTGGTGACAGTATTTTTGCCAAGTGTTGAGCCAACTTATAAGTTGGTGAATCGATCTGGCTTACTATAGGACGTAGTGGAGCGATTGATTTGTGTATTTTCGGTAACCCATACAACCTCGGTGGTTTTGCACATGATGGTATTGTCGAATTCACGTCGAGATCTAATTTTTTCGGAGTATTTCTTTATGAAATTATTAGTTGTTTTCCTTGTTGTTGGGAATTTAAAAAGTTAAAATTAAACGCGATATAATCCGTAAAAATTAGTTTCATTTAATGATGTATTTCTTATTTATTTATTTACACTTTTTTGCAATAAAGGTGCAAATAGCTTACGCAATATGGTTATTAATAGTAATGAGGGTATGACTTCTATCATCATGAACTTCTTCATCATCAGCTCATAAAAGCCCTCGCCGTGAACATGGGACTCGCCACACTTGGTAAGCGGATTGACGATGGCAGTACCGTGTGTATCGTACCTTTGACGCTGCTGTCCGTCGCCGGCGGGGGTATTTTGACGTTCTCCAAATGGTCATACCGCCATCTATCTCAAGCCATTAATATATACTGGAATTGCCTATAGTCGCCCCCTACCACAAACACCGTATGGTTGTGACGTATAAGTTACTTACTCCATTTTAAATCCAATAATATATATTTCTTCTGTTGTTGCAGATATCACAAAATTAATAATTGTATACATGCAAAAGTATTGCCACAACCAGCTAAGTTTCAAGACATCGAAAAAAACGCAGATTATAATAATAATAATAATAATAATAAAATATTTATTCATTGACCAAAAGTGATAAAATATTTAAAAGTTAAACTAATACAAAAATTATATTTTTGGAAGGACAATGAAAGGGTTCTGACTCAGCATGTGTTGCAGAGAATCTACAACGCTGTTATTCTGTCAGCACCCATATACCTACTTAGTGAGCTAAAGTATAACAGTACGCGTACATCACTGATTATATTACAAATAGTTTGTAGTGTTAAAATATTTATTTATTCATTCAGCCAGTACAAGAACTATTTAATTAACCAGTACAAGTTTTCATATTATTTCTATTAATAAATTGATAGTTAATATTCATGTACAAAAGATAAACATAATATAAACAAAATATAAACGAAAACATGAAAAAAAAAATAACAATATTAAAAGTAAGAGCTACAGTAGTGTTTTATTTATTCAGACTAATTATAATAATTATGCTAGAACATCGTAATAGTTATTAAAAAGAATACTGGTAGTAAATGTAAGTTACATAATTGAATATAACTAAATATGGGATACTCAGCCCCTGCCGAAATTTTTTTTTTATATTTATGACATTTTCTGCGTACTTAATAAATACTCTTTGTATTTTCTCTTAAAACTGTTCTTATTTGTTATGACTCGTAATGGTGGTGGAAGATCATTCCAACATTTTGTGGCCATAAATTTGTAACTACCACGAAATGCTGATGTCCTATGTTGAGGTATACAAAGTACTTTTGCACACTTTCCAATACCGTACATATGTTGATTTTGTCTCCACTGAAGTTTTTAATATAAGTATTCTGGTTTCTTTGTTTTTATCACTCCAAATAGCAGGGAGGCATAAAATAATTTGAGACGTTCTTGCATTTTAAGCATATTAGAGGCATTAAGGTAAGGTGTAACATGTGTTCGTCTTGGAATGTAAAAACAGTAACGAGCGCAAGCATTTTGTACACTTTGAATTAAATTTTTTGATTTTTTAAATAGACAAAGTCCATACAAAATTATACAATAATTTAGTTTAGGGAGAACTAAGGTTTCACATAGTTTTACACGTAAGTCTACAGTGATAAACTGCCTAATTGAATATAAAACTTTTAATTGGAAAAAACAACTTTTTACGACATTAATTACATGATTTTCAAACTTTAAATAACTGTCCATAAGAACCCCAAGATTTCGTGCTTCAAAAACTCGTTCAATGTTTTCCCCATCAATACGTATGTTAGGATCAGTAGAAGTTATGACCTGTACCTGCTTTTTAGTACCTATAATAATAAACTTAGATTTTGTAGGATTAAGGAGCATGGAGTTATTTTGTGACCAAGAACTAATACGTTGAAGATCATCATTTAACTTATCTACCGCTGTATTTACATTTTTACTATCTACACTAATATACACCTGTAGGTCATCAGCATAAATTTGGTATTTGCAATTTTCAAGACATGCTGTTATATCGGAACTATAAATGATAAAAAGCAAAGGGCCTAAAATAGATCCTTGAGGGACACCTTTATTTACAGGAAGAAGTTGGGAAACATAGCTTTCGCCATCATTCCTGTTAATTATAACTTGTTGTAAACGATTATTGAGATAACTCTTAAACCACACCAATGCCCCGTTATCAAATCCGTAATATGATAGTTTATCTATTAACAAATCCGTATTTATCGAATCGAATGCTTTAGAAAAATCTAAAAGAAAATTGTTTAAATGATACAGTGTTAACAACTTCAAATATATTTACTGATTTTTCCAAAACGAATGCAACTTCTAAATCTGTAAACATGTGTGATAATCAGAATAATTTAGAACCAAATTCATTTGGCAATGCAGTAGAGCCGAACATTAAGGTCGAATATTCCGACGAAACTTTTGACCAAACCGGTCCCTCCAATAATTTAAACAGTGAAAAGACAATGCTTATATTTAATTTTGAAGACAATCAAGAAATTTCCAATTTGAATCAAACATTTAAGAACAATTCTAAGTTAAAAATTATCACATGTGAGCTACTTTTGAATAGACGTGTCTATTCAAAAAACATAAAGCTATAAAAAAGGCTGTTTTCAGCATCATTAACACACTAAACAATAAAAAGAACGAAAAAAAATCAGTTAATATACAAACTGATGAAATCTCGATTATTTTTCTTGAGGAATACAATGTTTTTAAAATTATGATCAGAAATAATATCATGAAAGCTTTATCACATGTAACACAGAAAAATGCTAATTACAGCTTGGTTAATTCAGTTCATTCGCAAAATACAATGAATGAAAATATTCTGAATTCTGATAATAAATCTCGTTTCGAAGCAGTTATCAAACAATCAGAAAAAAACAAATCAATAATCATGGGTGTGTATAACTCCGTTATTAAACAAATTCTACATCCTAAAATCGAAAATGAAGAAAATATGAAGTCCATTTTTACTTTATTATCACAGTATATTAGTGAATTTTTGAACAATAAAATGCCAAATTATACAATAAACTTGCCAAATGAGACATCTTATCCTGATTTCAATAACATTAATATCAAAATTAATGTGAATGATGAAACGAGGCATTTATTATCACAACATATAAAACAGCTTCAGGAATTTCGACAGAACCAACGAATTGGGTATCAATATTCCACTCAACAGCAAAACCAAGAACCACATTTTAGAATGCAGCAATTCAACAACACATACGCGCAAGCTCAAGGTGTAGGAATGTACAACACCAAAAACTGGCCTAGGGTATACAAATACTATTAAATTTCATTTTACCTCTTTCATAAAAAAAAAACTAACTACATAAATTTTAAGATTTAGGCACATTAAATCTACTTTATATTTTATAGATTATAGTAAATCTTAATCAGAAATTAAATTTCAAATTGTAAAGGTATTTCTTTCTTAATCATAATATACGTATTAGTTTCTTTATAAATCTATTTTATTTTTGTAGAGTGATAACTCAGTGGCAACACAAGTCCCCACACTGCAACAGATTACACTTGATCAGAGTCTCCATACAGGATTTTTGCAAGCCGTACCCCGCCCTAAAGGTCAAACCAGGCGCCCACATTCTTTTCGAGACTTTTCAGGTAACAACAAAAATTATAATAATCAACGACAACATCCGTATCGCAATCAAATCCAAGATCTAGCTAGGCCTCCAAGAGCTCAAAGTCATTACGATTCCAACAACAATGTGATAGCGTTACATCAAGAACAACAACTACAACAACAACAGAATGAAATGAAAAGAAATAATAACTGGCAACAACAAGACGCCGCTGGCCTCAAGCAGTATATTATGCCACATAACTAAATTACATACAAAAATATTTAAATATTTCCTTTTGATTTTTTATGAACTTTGTTGTATTAAATGTCAATTCTATTTTAATATCAAATATTATGTTAATTTACAAAATTTATATTCGATTTTAAAATTTCAAAGTATAGAATTTTGTAATAATTTACCTGCATGAAATTATAGGTATATATATAAATATCTTACGTAAGTAATTACATGTTAATGTTAAATAATTAAAAACATTACAAAATATTTAAAAAAAATATTGATGTTGTGAATAGTATTAGCGTTTATCCTTCTCATGCAATTACATATTATAGTATTTAAAATAAATGTTAATGTACTTTGCTATCCATACGTTACATAGGAACATAGTTTGCGTGTACAATTAAATTTATCCATATTTCATATATCGTTAAAAATCTTATCAAAATACGTCCAGTGTAAATCAAATACTTTGTATGTTTCAATAGGTATAAATGTATGCTATAAATTACTAAAAGTACACAGAATGTGCATGGAAAGAGCCTCCACGAATTACAAATTGAATCCCTATCGTCCTCCGGTGCACAAGCAATGGCAATAAGCGAATTTCTTAATAGTAGTTTGGGTAGATTTATATTTTTGGCGTTTATTTGGGTTCTGAATGGTAGTTTGGCGAATTTCCATTGAATTATTAATATATTAAGAATGTTTTTACTGTGAGCAACTTTCTCTTTTAACTTAGCCAGGGTGGATAAAAATGTAAGACTTTAAAAAAGTTATACTTATTTTAAAAAAAGTATATAAATTTAAGTTTTACGGTAAAATAATTCAAAGACAATTTTTTATGTACGCGGTGTAGTGGCAGCGTATATTAATCAACTACGCCATATCGTAGATCACAAAAAACGAAACAAGAAAATTAAACAAGAGATGGGGTTGTAAAAAACTCAAAATAACAAAATCTTGCGATTGCCAACCTGCCTGGCAAGTTTGGCAGCAATTGAAATTCCTCCTTATGAGCCAATCTTTGGCAACGGACTTTGGATAGGTTGTAATGTGTGAACGAATTAATTTTCTTATTCAAGGTAGATATAATGCTTTTCCACGGCTCGGCACAGATCTTATCTTAATTTTGCGAGGGTTACTTTTGACGCAATTTGTCCGCCGCGTTGCTCCACATGTCCTCGAAATATTTTTATTCCACAAAAATCTAGGTTTCCTCACGCTGTTTTCTTTACCGCCGAGAACATGTTAAATCAGCACTTAAAATTACAATATACAATCTATTTGGTTCCGGTGGGCATTTAACCTCTAGGTTTTTTGTTAAGAGGAACAATTTATTGTTATCGTTGCAGCCTGTCAAAAGTCCACTGGTCTATCCCATCGTCTCATAACGAGAATATTTGCTATAGTTGCCACGCTTGGCAGGCGTGTTGGCAATCGTAGTTTCTTATTATTTAGACGTTATCCTCCTCTCTCTCGTATGTTACGACACCTACGGGAAGGTATGGGTTAGTGGAAATTCTTGCACCGCCACCATTGCTGTGCGTAAAGGAACAATTTAAATTAGGATATTTAGTGTATTATTATTAGCTAATCTACTTCAAAGTTATTGCTTGAAGATCTAGTAGGTAAGTAAAATTACATGTTTTGACATAATCATTCTGAAATAATATCTTTTGTATATAGATTTTAATGCAAATTAAAGTTTAATAGGTATATTGAATACATTTTTTAGATACTACAATATTTAGGTTTATATTGTAACTGTATTTAAATAAATATTTAATTGGGTCAATTGGGGCAAGTGCGGCTATCTATGATTTGAAGTTGACAAGTGTGATTTTTTATAATACGTTTATAACTTGCAAAATACGTTAAGATTACTTAACTTGAATACTTAACCCCAAATCAATATGCATGATTTGGGAAAGTTCTACTTATGTATGAGAAAATTAATATTATAAGCTGAAGGATACAGCCTCTTATATACGAGTATCAAGGATTGCATGCGATTTCAACCGTTCTTTTTTTTTCTCTTCTTATATTCAGCTTAAGATCCTTCTCGGTATTATAAGTCTGTAAATCTGTATCTTACTATATTTTGTCGTTGTATTTGTGTGCTTAAGTAACAGTATGTGGGATAAATAAAAATAATAAATACGTATGTATGTATGATACGACGAAGACTAAGACAGACAAAGATAGACGACTCATTTATTTCCACTTGCACCCAATTGAAAGATAGCAGTATAATTTGGCATAGTCTTACATACTATTTTGGTCAATGAATCACGGCTTAACACTTTGTCCTCCACGTCATTTGCTCTTATATGCTTTTAAGTAATAAAGAATGATCGTAACACTCGGGCTGGCAGAGTTGCCATTCTACCTTCTCTCTCACTTACCATTCGTGAATATAACTATATACCTCTGTGGTCAGTAGGTACTGCAAGAATTGGACATTTAATTGTAGAGGTGCATTGTGCTGTTCCGAAGTTATTTTTGGCGTATTTTATAATATTAACGCTTACAATTGACTACTTTTCTACATTTGAAAGCCTGTTAGACAAATATATTCCATTGTATCAGCACTCTATTATCACGGGTGATTAAAAAAACACATTTCTTTTAAAGAGTGACTCCTGCTAGTTTTGATTAAAATCCATACTTAATAAAAAATACTTAAAATTGACGTAGTATCAATGCTATTCAAGTGCAAAGTGAACTTGAAAATACATATGATGAAGCACTGGCCCCGATTGACCTCATTAGTGGGTATAGCGTTTGGTTATTTTGTATGGAAAAATAATGTAGTTTTTGTTTATTTTATTCTACCTGCCTTAGCGGCAACATACACACACACACAATCGGTTTTTTTTTCTGTATATCTATAGAGCAGTACTAGATATTATAAGTTTCATTCATTGTTTAAGATAAATACTAAATAAATGTACGACGATTTTCGATGTAAACGTATTAATTGTAATAATAATGTATGTAGGTTACATTTCAGTATCACATAATATTATGCAGTATATATAGGTATTTAACAATAAAATATTAAGAAATAAAGGAGATACAGGTACTTGTACCACAGTAGTTTAAAGTTTAGTGGGTAAGATGAAAATAAATATATTCAAGAAAGTCGATGTGATATACTGAGTAGTTCTGTATATTAAATATATTCTAAAAGTTGTTTGTACAAAGTTATGTATTTTTGCTGCGCTTTTTTTTTATAGGAGAGGGGGCAAACGAGCATGCGGCTCACCTGATGGTAAGTGACTACCGCCGCCCATGAACAACTGCAACACCAGGGGAATCGCAGATGCGTTGCCGGCCTTTTAAAAAGGAGTACGCTCTTTTCTTAAAGGTCCCTAAGTCGTATCGGTCCGGAAAAATCGCTGATGGTAATCGATTCCACAAGGAGGTCGTGCGAGGAAGAAAACATCTTCTAAATCGCACAGTGGTGGACCGCCAATCATCCAGATGGTGTGGATGGTATCGGGAGTTCTGCCGCGATGTGCGTTCGTGAAATTTGGCGGCTGGGATTAATCCGAACAATTCCTCAGAGCACTCCCCATGGTAGATGCGAAAGAAAATGCAAAGGGATGCAACATCTCTTCGCAGTGCCAATGAATCGAGCCGATCGGAAAGGGCTCGGTCGTCGACAATTCGAGCCGCTCTGCGTTGGATGCGGTCAAGTGGAAGGAGCTGGCACTGGGGAGCCCCTGCCCAGAGATGGGAACAGTATTCCATGTGAGGCCGAATTTGCGCCTTGTAAAGTAGCAGGCGGTGTGCCGGCATGAAATACTGTCCCGCTCTGCTGAGCACGCCAAGCTTTTTAGAGGCCAATTTGGCCTTCCCTTCCAAGTGACCACGAAACTGCACGTCACTCGATATGTCGACTCCGAGGATACCGATACTGGCTGAGGAAAGAAGGGGAGTGCCTTGAAACTGAGGAGATACGACAAAGGGGTTCTTTTTAGCGGTAAACGCGCAAACTTGTGTCTTCTGAGGATTAAATTGGACTAGCCAGTGCTGTCATCCGCATAGCAATGAATGTTACCAGTTAGCAACATATCATTGATATGCAGAAGAAACAGCGTTGGTGATAGCACACAGCCTTGTGGAACACCAGCGTTAATAGGCTTGTAGTCAGAGCATGCACCGTCTACAACGACCTTGATGCTCCGACCTGCAAGGAAGCTGGTGATCCAATTGCACAATTTCTCGGGAAGCCCATAGGAAGGGAGCTTCGAAAGAAGCGCTTTGTGCCAAACCCGATCGAAACATTCATCAAAATGCTTGTAGTGTTTAAATTATATATAAGATAACATTATTTTCTGATCAGAGAACTTAAGCTTGTTAAATTTATTTTAAACTGTTTCTCCCGACTTCCCCCCGTGGATTTCATTGTATTAGAATCCTATTTTTTTTTTTCTAATATAAAAGCCTAAGTTTCTCATAATAACATCAGATATCTGTCTGTGAAAGCCCATCAAAAGCGGTTCAGCCTTTTCGGAGATTAGCCGAAACAAACAGACAGACAGACATAAAGACAAAAAAACCCGGCCAAGTGCGAGTCGGACTCGCGCACCGAGGGTTCCGAACAAATCCGTAGGTATATAAGTTTGAAATTATTAAAAATATTTTTATTATATGATGTAACTAAAAGTTTATGCTTTTCGCAATTTTTCCTTTATCTGTGCTATGATACGTTCCTTCGTACCAAATTTTAAGATTCTGAGTTCACGGGAAGTACCCTGTAGGTTTTGATTCCCTTACGAATGTGGAAAATTTGCGGCATAAACGTATCTTTTGATTGCGTTAGTTTAGAAGTTTTATTTTTTCACAGCTCCAAGGGACAGTATACTTGAGTATTTGATATGAATTTCAACTTGAAACCTCCACATACGCACGTATAAATACATAAGTGAAACTTAGGTTATAGTTAGGAGCGATGGTAAAATTATATTTTGTATCAAAAATCTTTATTTCAATTATATATACAGAGAAAAATATTC